TTAACAATATATATATATATATATATATATATATATATATATATATATATATATAGGTAGAAGTATTGATTGGAGGATTGTATTAGTAAACCAAACAGTTATCCCAAAGTAGTATGTGCCTAAAATGATGTGATATTTTTCGACTAAATTTATTTGTAAAATTCTATTTTTTAGTAATACTCTCTCTTAAAAAGATGTCATGATTAAAATGTTACTATGTGTTAATGATGTGCGTTTGCGTTTTGATGATGAACGGATGATATGTGGAAGAAGATGATGATGATGATGATGAATAAATACACCTAGTGTTTGAAGCGGTTTAACTAGGGTAAATAAAAATAATTGATTTTGAAGCGTTGTATTGAATATAAATTTGTTGTAATGCGCTGAAGGTTGTTTTGCAAGTAAGTTACAGTTTGAAACCTGAAAGGTCATGTAATTTTCTCCTGCGTTATGATTGGCGTTCTCGCGATGTCGTGATGAGCGACTCTTGTGACTGGTTGATGTTGTAGGTGATTGTTTATTAATAACTTAGCAGTCGTCCATTGGCTTTACCGCTGAAAACGCTTCATTACATCATCATACTTGGAAAATGGTAAACTGTCACTTGCTTACATAAACAACACCTTGAAGATAACAAAACAAATAGGTGAAGTCAGAAATATTAATTTAAAAGTTTATTCAAGACAACGAATGCTGATAGTTTAACCTGGTCATCATCGTAATAATACGTGAGAGATATTTGCTTAATTTTCTCTCTAAAAATACCTATACTAGATAAAATATTATATGCATTTAGATAGAGTGAAGAGTCAAAAGAGGTTCGAAAAACGATCTGTCAATTGTTGGTTGACGCATCATTTTTTCACACTAAATGATAAAAATAATGTTCAATCTCTTTTTTGTGGGTGTGTTTAAATATATGGGTGTGTTTATATATACGGCACATGACCGTAGATGAGTAGGAGGCATTAATGGGCAATGCCCTACCTTAAAAGGCTCAATGACCGACTTTAAAATGAAAAGCCCCAAGAAAATTAGACAGATTCACTTTTTCGAAGTTACTTAATTATGGTTTCTGCCCTACCAAAAACTTATTTTGCCCTACCTTAAACTTGGGTCTGGCTACGACCTTGACTCTCCTAATTAATCGGTTCTAATTTAGATTGCAAGATTTGACCTAAACAAAACAAATATTAGTTAAAAATGGCGCCACGTTGAATAAAAAACAATTGACTCCATTGACCTGAGCATTTATGTCATATTACTTCGTTATTACATACTAATAAGCGTTCGTATAGTAAACAAAGTATATACATGTTATAAAGTTATAAAGATTGCCAACAACTTACGTGACTCGGGCGTCTAAACTATTCACGCAACGAAACAAGGTCGCATAAATTGGCAGTTTTAAAAATTCCACCAATAATATCCGTCATAATATATCCGACTAGCTCTTTCCTGCGGCTTTGCCCATTTGAACTCTTCACTCTTGTTTCCATGGAAAATAACTGACAATACAAGAGTAGTAAAGTAAGAATGTAGCATTTTACTTGTGACCGAATTCAGGTCATATTGACCTAAAATTTATATCCTTTTTTTTATACAACTTAGAATGGCAAACAAGCTGACGGCCCACCCGATGGAAAGTGGTAACGGTCGCCTATAGACATGAGCAGTACCGTAGACATAACAGAGTATACTGTTTCGCCCATGATACCCCCCATGCGTTGCCATTCCTGAGGACTCAGGTGTTATTCCTCTGTACCCTGTAAATTCACGCCATATCCTACCCTTCAAACCGAAACACAGCCATGCAAACACAGCTACTTCACGGTTGAAACACGAATAGGACAGAGGTGCCCAAGCAAGAGACTTTTGTACAAAGTCTCCCTCTGGTACAAAGAACGTACAAAAAATACAACCTACTTTATTCTCATGAAATAAAGTCTTTTTCAGATTTTATGGATAAAATATCTCTATTTAATCAATAATAATCAATCATAATCTTGGTTGTTTAATTGGCCCTGTGGTCCCGGCATAAAATGGGCCACGTTTCTTTCCTGTGGGTGTCGTAAGAGGCGACTAAGAGAACTTAGTGATGAAGAGATTAGCAGCAATGTACCTCTTAAAACATCACCAAAGCCTAACTGCGATTGCCAACCCGCCTATCAAGCATAGCAACTACTGGTAAAATCTCCTGATAAGGAGAAGCCTATGTTCAGCAGCTGATATGATGATGATGATGATAAAGACTTTATACAAAAGTTTTTGTATAAAGTTATTTACCAAATAGGTGTGTTTATGCGGCTTTGATTCGGTTTGAATTTTTTGATATGCCATGGAAATTTTTAGATACGGACTGAAACATGAAATCGTAGTTCTCAGGAATGATCAGAAGTATCCTGGATGTCACAGTGTATTTTTAACGTCCATGGTTTATGGTTTAAACAATGGTTTTTCCATAAAGTGGATCATCAGCTTATTTCCCATTTCAAGTCACATATGAGCTGTAATAAAAGCAGATTGCAAAGTGACAATTAGCTACTAAATGAAATGTTGCCACGATGTAGAGTGAGAGAGTAAGGTGATTAGTTGTCTCGCTTTCTCACTCGTTTTTTCATATAGCTGAGTGGGCGATCGCGTAAAATAAATGAACAGGTAGGACTGTGGGTGTCGAAAGACGAGAGGGTCACATAGTGACATTTATTAAATTCTGTAGCACCGGTACCCAAAATGAAAGTAACGTAATCCGAACATTGTTGTTTTTGCCCCGATTTATCTACATAGAGAATATAATAATATTATTTTGACATTATATCTAAAAAGGCTAGTCAGAAGTATTTATTAATATTATCATGTCGATCATGCTTCCGTTAACTGTTCCCCATAGATTGCCATAAAGAACGATCCCGAGCCACCTGCATCCACTGTATGCCCCTGTAATTAATGTAAGGTTGTCGCTCCATCTAATGGGGTGTCTTCCTACACTGCGTTTGCCTGTACGGAGTTGCCACTCAAGAATAATTCTTCCCCATCGGCTGTCGGTTTTTCGAGTTATATAACCAACCCGTTGCCACTTTAGTTTGCTTATTCTTTTATTGCTTATCACTTTGATTCTTCTACGTTCTTACTTCTTCTATCCTTATTATTGATCATAGTATTTATGAATATACATTTTCATAATGTAATTATGTTTAAAAAATTTAAATTACATGCATTTCATAGACATTTATATTCAATCAATCAATCTGGGTCATCTGGACCGTCCTAAGAGGGTTAGGTGAGGGCCTCGTAGCGGAACCACTTGCTCCAGCTTCAATTCCGGAGCCCCCGGCTCCCCAGGTACACTGAATCTAACCTTTTTCCAGATGCTGAGGCGTGGTCTTCTTATCTACATAGGTGTATTCTCTTATCGCCTTATGCGCTAGATGGCGTTGATAGTAAATAAACAAGATTTTAAACAAACTATCTAACTAACTAACTAGCTGTATCCTGCAGTTTCGCCCACATGCATCAGTATTTAAAATATTCGACCTTCTAGGTTAGGATATAACCTATTTACGTGCTAAATTTATTTCCTATCTGTTCAATAGTTTTTAAGGTAAACGAGTATCAAATCCAATTATAAGTTTATCCTTAAAAAGTTAATGATTAATACGTATAATAATAAGAGCTTTTATACAATGTATTCAAAACTTGGACTTTGCAGCATTTAAGAAATAAACAAAAGAAATGATAATCATTTATGCACGTTAATATATTTTTTTATATTTAAATAAATCATTGGGGTATCTCCATCTATCTTAGTGCAGATATACCAGAACATTGAACTTAACGATTTTAGGTCAAGCTTTTAGTCATCGGGTCATCAAACTAAGAGAAAACAATAATAGAATTGAACAATTTCAATTACAAGTAACATAGTAACGGATATATGTAAATTTGGCCAAACTGTGACAATTTGTTTCTAGTATTATGCGTAATCCTTGCTTTAAGGTTTAAGGATCAGTATCTTTCGTTGATGTGGTAGTTTCACTACGAATATAATAAGATTATGGGTTCAGGTCTATAATTAAAGGAACAGTGAGTTTTTGGGTCATAGGTTTGTGAGATTAATCTATTATATCTATTTGAATAACATTGTAACTTTAATGAAGACCCCATTTAGAGGTCCCATTGATTTCGGTGTTATATAATGAACTAGCTGTATTACTCGGATTCGCTTATGGTTCTATTGTGATATTAAGTACAAACCTTTTTCAAAAAAAATTGCTATCAAATGCTAAAAGACTTTTTCAAATCCAACTGATAGTTCCAGAAATCAGTGCATTCAAACAAACTCTTCTATTTTATTGTATTAGTATAAGCTAGCGATAGAATCCAAGTCTAATAGAATAGTTTTAAAAAGATTTATAGAAAAATCATGTACTTCAAATTTCATAAACATAAGTTCAAAGTGTAAAGAACATTTTATTAGCAGTTGTCCGATGTCCTGAAATAGCAATCAATCCAAATTACGATTCAGAACATACCCAAGGCGCTGAACCACTGATTGTCCTTTACACTGTGGGAATTTTCATTAGCCATCTGAGGTAGCGAGAGAACACATTTTGATAAATGACGTGTCATTATTTTTCTGGTATTAACGTGACAGTAATGAAAGAGCGAATAATTGGTAATATTCTACTGGGCCAATTTACTAAATTTCATGACATAATTTGCCAAACTGAGTATTGAACTAGGAAATTTGCATTTTATTGTTTCTATCTATAAGTTTTATATATTTTTTATTTTGCTTTGATCCCGCTAGATCTTATGAATTGATACCTTCGACATATCCCGACAAAGGTGTTCTTGTTTACAATGTCATGAATTTTTCCTTTTATGTTTATGCCAGTACTTATGACTTCTTCTCTAAGATTAATATGTCAACTTGCAGTATGCAAGCGCAGAGTATGAGATGTATTTTTAATAATACCACCATTTCTTTGTTACAGAACACCAATGCGTTCGAGTACTATTCAGGAATGCGACAATACGAGGAAATGACAACTATCATTGCAAAATGGCTCATAAACAGTGGAAGACATGGATGAGAATCGCTCTCTTTCCGATCGCCATACTAACCACGACTATCGCTGACTTCACGACAGAATGTCAAAGACCATGCGACTGTAGATGGCAGTCCGGAAACAAAGCCGCAATTTGCTCAAACTCCAGTCTTAAAGTGATACCCGCCAACTTGAGCAGCGATATTCAAATACTAGATCTATCGAACAACAATCTGCAACAATTGCATCAGGAAGGATTCAAAAAAGTGGGACTCAGCAATCTGAAAAAGTTATTTCTAAAAGAGTGTAACTTGGAAGTCGTTCATAAGTCGGCTTTCGCAACATTAGCTATAATGATAGAACTCGATTTGTCCAAGAATAGGATACAATATCTCCACCCAGACACGTTCAAAGGCACGGAGAAACTAAGATTAATAAACTTAAGCAACAACTTCATCGATAAGTTGGAGGACGGTATATTCCGCAACTTGAAGTTCCTTCAGAAAGTAGAGGTTAGTAATAACAGGATTGTGCGGATCGGCACAAAAGCATTTGTAAACTTGCCACAGTTAAAGATACTGAGATTTGATGGTAATAAATTGAGTCACATGAAGCCTGAAACTTTGATGGCATTGAGAAATTTGTCCGGATTAGACTTACATAATAATCCGTGGCGGTGTGACTGCAACCTGCAGCCATTTAGAGATTGGGTGATCAGTCACAATTTATACACTCCGCCCACGTCATGTGCTGAGCCGTCATCCGTGCGAGATAAACTTTGGAATGAATTAGATTCATCGAACTTCGCTTGCCGGCCTACCATATTGGAACCCCTACCAGATTCAACGATCAGAAGTTACGATGTAAACGTAACTTTGACTTGTAAAGTTGTAGGTAATCCCACTCCAGAAGTGGTATGGCGGTTCAATGGAAAAACTATTGACATGAGATCGTTTGGAGAGATCAGATATATTATTTCTGAGAATACTATGGATTTGATACGATGGGTTAATTTAACCATTATTAACAGTAGATACAGCGATAGAGGAAACTATACATGTATCTCTGAAAACCCTGGTGGTCGAGATGAGAAAACTGTTACGCTCATATTATCTAAATATGGAGGAGTTGGTTCTATAATTGGGCTAGATACAGATTCATTTGCTATATTAGTTGGTTGTTTGTTAGCTATAGTTATAATTTTTGCTGCTGCAATAGCAGTATGTTATTTTACAACACAGAATAATGAAATTAAAAGACTGATTAAAACTGATACTCGTTCGTCAAACGGTGAAGCTTTAATAGAAGGCTCAGTCGCTTCTGAAGGAGACAAAACCTCAAAGCCAGAAGTGAATCCTGTGACGAAGCCTCCGAGGAAATATGAGGCGCCACCGTCCCTAACTAGTGAAGCTACAGAAATGTCAGAGCTGAACAAAACTCTACTGGATAATGACTCTGTCATGGGTGAGGTTTTTTTTATATCGCAGTTAATATAATTTATTTGTTTATATATTTATTTATTAAAATTTTATTTTGTTCATACATACAAGAAAAACGACTCTAAATAGTCATGCATGAGATGTATATTACCTAAATTATGATGTAAGTCTGACATATATCTAAATATATTTTGTTTGGCATACAATTTAATATAATTAACTTTATTTATCTAATAATTTAAATAACTTATGTGCTGGTCGCTAGTCTGCATTGAAACAAATTTATAATTATTAAATCTAGTTTTATTAAAAAAAGCCACAATTAAATTTCTTACCGGATCTTATCAGCTGGAATTGCATTCCAAATACGCGGTAGAATTATAAAAAAAAAAACTATTCAAAAATGTTTTTAATTAAATTTACTCGAATACAAAATATTAGTTTTATTATACCGTCTTATTGTACTTATACAACTGTATCGTTAAATTTATGAATTGTCTTGCTTATTCTCTAATTACAGAGATAAACATACACATATACACATAAACATACACATATACACATAAACATACACATATACACATAAACATAAACATATACAGAGGTATACATTAATATAATACAAATAAAGTATACTCCTTCATTCATCATACATAAAAAAAGAACACGTTAAAATAATTAGAGAATCTAACTTGTGTCATCTTTTTATATCAGTTGGATAATAATTTTGTGTTGGATTAGAAAAAATTCCAATTTTGTCAAATTAAGAAAAAAAATATGAGTAATTTAATAATACGTAAATGAAAAAAAAATATATAAAAAACTTGGAGTGATTGATGGAATAATATTAAAGGAAATTTTGAATTAAATGCAAGAATTCCTTGCAATTTTCGTTGTTAAAATTTGAGGTTTGCTTTGATCGGGCATTTTCTTAAGAAAACTCAGAAACAAGCGGTTTTTGAGTTGCAAAGTATTTTCTCATAGAAACTTTCCATTTAAAACTGATTTATGTATATACTCCTGTAAAAACAAGAACAATACGGAATTTATTATGGCAACTTCAAACTGGAACATTAGGTTGGTTTGAACAAGGGGTATAATTTCATGTAATTTATTACAAAAAACTACTCTCAGTGAAACATTCGTATTGTTGCGTGCTAGGCCTTTTGGAATATAATGAGAAATTTAATAAGATCTCTTTTGTACAAGTTCTTAAAACATATAAAATATTTGTTAGAGTTTCAACGTTGTAGTGTTAGATTTATCCAATGAAAGAAAAAAAAAACACTATTTAAATAGTAATAAATCTTTCATAATATAAATGCCAAAATCGTAAAAGAACCCAAGTGACCTACATAATCCAAAGGATAAGTTGCAGTGGCAATGAGCTCGTCACATAGCTCGAAGAATCGACAATCGATTGGGAAGAAAAACTAACCAACGCAGTGTAGGATGACTCAGGATCACTCAGAAGGAGTGACGACCTCAAATATATTGTAGGTAGTCAGTGGATGCAGGTGGCTCAGGACCGTTCCTTATGGCAGTGGAGAAATGTTTAGCGATGGACAAATAATGGCTGAGATGATGATGAATTAATGCTAAGATTAATACATATTTATTTATAATATTTTTTTTAGAGAACAATAATAATAATAGTACTACGTACGCTTTGCGTAACGTTCTACAATACATAAAATTCATATGATAGATAGTTTTAAAGTAGGTACATTCATTCTTTAAATTATATCTATAACACGATAAAAGATTTATATGATTACATTAACTATTTAATTTTTTTCATAATACTATTCTATTTACCAGTAACATTATAAAAATCTGCTAATAGTTGATACAAGTAGATATTTTGTTAACTATTTAAAGTCTACATTTCTATTTGTTTCATTGTTTGTGTTGAAATGGGCTAGATTAAGTTTTGATCATTACCAAATAGCCAAAATATTTTTCTACAAACTAAATCTGAATATTATTATTCTTCAATGCTCTATTTTGTTCGCAGTATCCAACGAAGACAGCAATCGCCATCAAGAAGCGGAGGTTTCAAAAGTATCTAATGATACTCTACTCATGGAACGTTTGATCAAAGATCACCAGGCCTACCCACCAGATCTACTTTCGTTTCCATTAAGAGGAGGCACTCAGGTCTCACCAGCTAGCGGAACTTCATCGGGACAAGAGAAACTAAACCAAACTAATTCTGTTAGTCCAATTAAATCACCTGTATATGGTGTGACAACGATCAATCCTACCCTATACAGCAGACTCCAAAGTGCAAACTTACAAAGTTCTGCGTCACTTATGAGTCCTAAAAGTGGTTACGTCACTTTACCTAGAAGGCCGAGGCATAGCCAAGAAAATATACGCCCTCAAATATTTTCCACACTTAATGGTGTTATTCCCTATTACGATAATTTCAACATGAAGCTATTTGGCCACGGAGGCAATTACTATAGCCTTAACAAAAGCGAAATGGACTTAGGCCCAATCAGCAAAATGAGTTCCAGCTTTCATGATTCGGAAGAGATCGAACCTGCTCCATCGCCGGCACCTGGAACACCACATGCAACGATCCCAAGGAACAGCCTCAGTTCTCCAAATATCCACAATCAGTTGTTGACTTTACAAGCTATGTCCATGAATGCCGCTCAGGGAAGGCTTATGAAACCATCAGAGCAACGTCCTCTCAAAGTCACGTTGGCTGAAAATGAAGGTGTGATTAAAAATCCCATCCGTGACTTATGGATGGGTTATAGTGTGAACGTAGTTAGTGGTACTATTAGTAGGACAAAAACAGCCCCAAAACCACCACCTAAACCAAGAAAGAGAAACTCTTGTGAAGTGAAAGAACCATTTCTTATGAATTCTGCTGACAATGCTACCCAAGTGTAAATAAGTTTAAATGTATCTACCTATAGCTTTACCCCAAGTTACGTTAAAACTTATAGCCTAATGTTAACTTAGTTTTGATAGAAGATGTGCTTAAGGAAATTTGACAATGGATTTTGAAGTTACCATTGTGACTCGATTTAGTAAATTTAACAAATAATGTTTCCAACTTACAAGAACATGTTATTTATAATTATACTGATTTAATTTTTTTTTTTAAATGTACAAAAAAAAATTATTATTATTTTATTCTATATGGATTTACGTTAAGATTGAAAACCACTTACTTACTTGATATAAATCTATTATCAATTTTTGAAACAGTTTTTATAGAATTACTTAAGTGTTATCTTCTATCAAGACTAGTAAATTCAATAAATTTATTATTACGTTATTGCCTTACATAAAATGGTTTTATGAATCGTTATAATTATACATATTTTATACATAAGTTCAATTTTTTACTATTCCATTATATTCAATAGAAACTAAGTCATTTGTACAGCGAATATACAGAACATTTTATGGTATTATTCATCCTATATTGGTGCTTATATTAATACTAAACGCATTGTAGTAATACTCTGCTTCATTGAATAAACCTGTAAGGATAAAACTAACTACTTTAACTGGAGTCAAAATTATCGAAGCTAAGTTATCAAGGTTTAATTTTCAATGCAGTTTAACTGAATGTTGAATTTGCATATCTGCTCAAAATGAGATTTTGGAACGATTTGTATAAGACAATTTTCATAGTTAAAAATGAAAGTTACTAAATACTTATTCATTAATTATGTATTCGTATGTAACCGTATTATAAGTCTACAATGTTAGACTTAAAGCTTAGAATTGCAAACAAGTTGACGGAACTACCCTAACCTGATGGAAAGTAGCAACTATCGTCTACATGAACAGTACTGTGGAAATAACGACATATAGTGTGTCGCCCATTATATTCTTTATCCGTTGCCATTCCTGAGGACAAAGGTGTTATGCCTGTACCCTGTAAATTCACAACCATACCCCATCCTTCAAATCGAAACACAACCATGCAAACACAACTACTTCACGGCAAAAGCACGAATGGAACATAAAAACATCCAAGTGGACGACTTATTATTGCTAATTATTTTTTTTTTTTTTTATACAACTTAGAATGACAAACAAGCTGACGGCCCACCTGATGGAAAGTGATAACCGTCACCTATAGGCATGAGCAGTACCATGGAATTATTTATTTATTTATCATATTAAGCATAAATTCCATTTTTCAACCAATTAAAAAAAAAAGGTATTTTTTATATTTGTCAGCTCATAACTCTGCCAGATCTAAACAGATTTGGAAAATTCTTGTTTTATCTGAATGATATTAGTACAGATTGAACTCATAGAAATTTTATAAAAATCACTGCATTTGTTTAGTTTTTAAATCAAAATTACTGGTTTTGTCGCAATTGAAGTTGGTTTTTTGTGAGATTCAATCTTTAATTGTTTATTTTGTAAATTTTTAATATGGCAAGATTGTGCTCTGCTGTGTACATGTTTCCTCGTGACATGTTCCGTTGTGAATTTTAACTTGTATAAAAAAAGAAGGGATTTTTCTTTGGAATCATCGTTCCCGCATCATAGCAACCTTGTCTTGTATAATTAACCGCTTTCCTGTCTTAATCAGACAATTGAAAGAATTTTATTAAAAACTAAAAAATTTATATTCTCTCTAATCAACTGCTCAAAAAATAAACATATATTCTTTGTTTTACTTTTATAAAAATACTACTATTCAATTTAGATTTTTATATTGTCTGCAGCCAAATCATCTTTATTTAGGTTTTAAATTGTATTTTTTGTAGACTTCATTACCGTTTCCAATTTTCTTCCAAAATTAGCAAACAAAACAATCTTTACATATAATTCTTCTTATTATTATTTTTATTTTGTAAATACATTTTTATATTACCTACCTTTTTATATTATTTAGTTTGACATACAGTATCTATAAAATAAAATTATATGGCTACTATAATATTGATATAATATGGCAACAAATGATAACAAAACTTTGTCACGTGGTTTAAATTTTTTTACAAGCTTCGTTAATTTTGCCTCTAATTGCAAATTCCTTACATCCATAATTATAAAAGAAACAAAATATAAACCAGTGTTGCGTAATTATTAAAAGAATTTCTGTACTATTATAGTAGCATAAGGTTGAATATAAATTGCTACCGTATGGTAGGACTTCCAGTAAGGTACGGTAAGATTTCGCCTGATATCATTGAGTATCTTCAATGAGAATTCATTGAAATTGTAAATAAATTAAGCAGTGTAAATACAATTTGTTTTTTACATTCCAGTAGATGTAATAATGATGTAAACAATTGTTTGAAATCGGAATTATGTAGTACTATCTGTAACCGACTCTTTTTGGCCGCGTGAATTACGGATAAAAATTGTGTTAAATTTGAATGTATCGTATTTGTATGTATTTGTATGAATCTATGTATCAAATTTCATTGAAATTCTTTTAAGCATGATTAATTAACGGATATTCAAATGGCGCTATGAGAATTGTTTTATATAATTGCATACAATTTAAATAAATATACAGCGGGTTTTAAACCATGGTACGTGCACGCTTAACCCTACAAGAAAGACTTTTTTTTCAATAGATCAAATGTAAAATTTTGTAGTCGCGTATTTAGTTGGTGCATTTTAAAAATCACTTCGTCGTCAAAATTTATCATAACCTCTCTCTCTAGTCTATCTCTTTTATAGTAACAGAGTATTTATATAATATTTTTTTTTGTTTTACTTAGTTTAAAGAAAGCGACATTTGAATGAACACAGCGACATCTATGGTTTTAAACTTATGATGCGACTAATAAAAAAAAATAGCAGTAGACCGGTTTAGTTTATATATATATATAAAAAAAAAATCAGAGAGAGTAGATGAGGCTCGAACCCACTACCCCTACCAAGAGCAAGAAAGAAGACGAAAACAGATCACGTGACACCCGAACAATAACACGGAGCTTTGACCCAATAACACGGAGGTAGTCGCTCCAGAAGTTGAAGCCAGGGTTAAGGGGTGAAACCTCCATCTAAACCCTCCTAAGAGGGTTTTTTTTTAATGGGTGATAATGGAATGGTAACCCCACCCGCGCTATCGGTATACACCGGCGGGGCACCAGTAAAGGATGATAGGTGAGGATGAAGCAGGTCAGTTAGCCCATTGTGACGAATTCAATAAGAATTGTTCACGATGGTTTCCAGGGGAACCACGTGGAGGTCGACCTAATAGGGTATATTGCTAATCGCTATTGCTAACAATCCCTCCCCCCCCCCCAAGAGGGTTAAAAAAGACCTAGATTAGACCTTTTTTTATAATTACACGATTTTCTAAAAATAAATTGAACGTTATGTATGATTTCAAATATTAATCGTCTTCTTATAATTCCGATTTCAAACTAAATATTGGCCGCTTTAACGAATAAAAATTCTAAAATTATTTAATTGTTCCGAATGTAAAAATGTATATAGATAGATAATAATAATTAAATTAAAAGGTAAAATTAATTATGTATTTACGGTGTGGTCATGTAAGGTACGAGAGAGGCGGTTGGACCAATATTGAGACAGTGTGAATGGGGTGAAATAATAAAAATAAATACAATTTGAGATTTTACATGCATTTTTATTAATACTACAGTTCTTACTCTGGTGATTGGGATTATTGATTGATTGAAACAAAAAATATCTTGTGTCCTTCTTCGTCATCTGTCTATATATACATATAATAAAACTGTAGAGTGCGAATATATGTAAATAGAAAAAAAAACGCTATAAACCGAGTCAGGGAGGTGTTAATAATAAAATAGAACACATCTAGATTATTTCAAATTTTTTGTTTCTCTGTCTGTTTGTACGGGCTAATCTCCGAAACTGTTGGATCGATTTAAATGAAGTTTTGCATGGTGATACCTCACATCCCCGGTCAACATTTTAGGTACTTTTAATCACAGAAAATTAAAGAGTTCCCGTGGGATAGTTAAAAAACTATAGTAACTTATTGAACTTAGTACACAACCTACTTAAGTAAAGTAATTGTACTACAGACTAATTTTGTTTAAGGAAATAAAGTTTATTATTATTATTTAGACCTAAGTGAGAACGACACGTCATATGTTAATTTTGGTGCAGTATTCCCGGACATTATAAATAGGTAGGTACATACATCGATACATACTAAACATGAATAACAAAGACCACGCGGACAAAGTCGGGGGCGTCAGCTAGTAAATACTAAGTGTGTACCAAACTTTATGATGATTGGTTCAGTCGTTAAGACGTCAAGAGATAACAAACAAACTGACTTGCAGATCCTACTAATATTATTATAATGGTTTCCAGGGGGAACCACGTGGAGGTCGACCTAATAGGGTATATTGCTAGCAATGGGGCTGTCAAACCCTATTGCTAACAATCCCTTTCCCCCCAGCAAACAAGTATTAGGTCCGTCTAATTAAAAACGGGGTTACAGTAGTACTTAATACGCCCTTTTTGATTAACCCCATGCTTTAGTCTCTTAGCCTTATTGCCAATAAAACATGAATCGAAAAATGATAACTAGTCCTCCGGCTCCATCTCCACCTGCTGTCTTCACGGGCTCTGCTGGCTGCAGCCTGCAGTACAAGGTGAAACTTTGATGTAGGGAATAATGGTTGAGGATGAAAAATGCTCTATAAGCTTGTCGTAACAAATACGAAAAGAAGTAACAACGGCGTTTCCCATAGAGAACTACGCGGAGGGTGATCTAACATTTATATTACTTAGCAATGGAGTTAAAATCCCATTACTAATAATCCCTTTTTCTCTTCATCCTTTTAAATGTATTTGCATGGAGTCAGCTGCTGCAGGTGCCATAGAACAGTTTCATATGGTTGCCTATGGGAAAATCTATGAAAACTTCTACCGTCTCCGTTGTTGGACAAACGATATGGAAGATCACTATAGGGAGAATGTTAAGAAGTTGACAATGAACGTATGAAATAATGAAAATCATGACAAAACAATCCCTCTTATGGTACCAGCATAGAATAGGCCACTTCCTTACTTTCCCGTCGGTGTTGAAAGAGGCAACTAACAGAACTTAATGGTAGAGGAATAGGCAGCAGCGTCCCTATTAAAACATCACTAAAAGCATAATATCGGTTGCCATCCCACTTCCCAAACATGGCAACTACTACCAAAACTTAAAGGAAAGGCTTATGTTCAGTATTGGACAGTTAAAATGATAGGGTGGACGGTTGATACAATAGTAATAAAAAAAAATGGTATAACAGTAAGTACATCCCAACAAATTATTCTCCTAATCTACGTGAAAACGACGTGACACCCACAAATGCGAGGAAAAATCTTTTTTCACTAACGCGAACCTTTTAAGCGAGGAAATTCACACATTTAATCACTAATATTGAGAGAGAGCTTTTAAAATGTACCATAGTGTAATCAAGGAAGTTATAAATCAACTGATGTATAAAAAGGTGTGATTATCTTAACGACTCCGGACACTTTGTGTGGTAGGAGGGGTGGGGTGGCGAGAGATGAATAGCAGAAAATTTGGGTCACTTCTAATTTGCTTTTGGCCGTCTCGGGCCTTTCAAAACGAGATTGAATTAGTGTTGGCTTTTTGTCTGAGAGCATTCGCAGATTAATACATTGTTTGGGTGTTTGTTTAAAAGTAATTAGGTTATATTGTTTTTGTATGGTTCCTTAAGAGGCTCCCAAAAGGAAATGGTTCACTGCTCGATTGAATTCCTACTTGTTACAAGCTTTTTTAATTTGTACGCGTAAATTGCAGAACTAATGAAGTAGGCCACTAGATGGCGTGTTAAAGTAAAATATACCTTAAGGTAGTGTAATGAGAATCTAACAGTATTATAATATAATATATATAATATAACCTATCAGGTTAGCCTCTAAGTGGTTCCCCCTGCTTGTGGAATTTGTCGTGAGTCAAATGATCTTTTTTTTATACCACTAAGGTGGCAAAAAGCATACGGCCCACTGGATGGAAAGTGGCGGTTACCGTAGCCTATGAACGCAATACCAGGGCTATTACGTGCGTGTGTAATGCAATTCTGAAGAATCCTCTTCAACCTACTTTTGAAGAACCCCATGCTGTAGTCTCTTGAGAAAACCTCCTCAGGGAACTCGTTCCATAACCTGAGTGTTCGACGAAGAAAACATCTCTGAAACCGCGTTGTACGCGACCATCTAGGCTGTAGGTTATGAGAGTGAACTTCCTGTCGATGGCGAACCGTACGATGGTGGAAAGGTCATATGAAAGGTCAGATAATCTGCTTTTATCCTCATCTTTACTCTCTCATGGGGGTCCCGTCATTATACGAGTATATGTTGTTTTTTTTTTGTTTGTTTTTGTTTTTTTTTTGTTGCTTTTTTTGTTTATAATTTTTTTATCTGTCTTTTACTGTATATTATGTGTATGTTTGTATTGTGAATAGTATGCTGTAAGGAATGTAAATAAATGATCTATTTATCTATATATATATATATATATATATATATATACTGTTAGCACAGATGAGTACACTATTCCATCATCATTCATTAAAAAAAAAAAAAAAAAAATATAAATATATATATATATATATATAATATAAATACAGATGTAACAAATGATTGTGCTCAGAGGAATTATTCAATATGATGCCTACGGCCACTTTCTATCATCGTACGGCTCGCCATCGACAGGGAGTTCACCCTCATACCTTACAGCCTAAATGGTCGCGTACAACGCGGTTTCAGAGATGCTTTCTCCCACGAACACTCAGGTTATGGAATGAGCTCCCTGCCGAGGTTTTCCCGAGAGACTACAGCATGGGGTTCTTCAAAAGGGGGTAAAGAGGTTTCTTCAGGGTCGGCAACGCGCGCGTAATACCTCTGGTATTGCAGGCGTTCATAGGCTACGGTAACCGCTTACCATCAGGTGGGCCGTATGCTTGTTTGCCACCTCAGTGGTATAAAAAAAAATGAGTACAGGAATAAAGAATAAAACGAGAGTGACAGAGACAGCGTTACGCTATTGCAACGGGAGTTAAAAACTAAAATAAACGTACATTGAATGGGCAAATAGACTGAACCAATAGAACGTGCCTTATCATAAAACAAGTTTTTATTGTATATTTGTCCGTAATGTTTCGAGTTGGTTTAATGCTTGCTCAACTATTATTATGAGCTAAACAAAATATATATTTACCAGAGGGAGACTTTGTACAAAAGTCGTTTGCTTGGGCAACTCTGTCCCATTCGTGTTTCTACCGTTAAGCAGTTGTTTTTGCATGGCTGTGTTTTGGTTTCACGGGTGGGATATGGCAGTGAATTTACAGGGTACAGAGGAATAACACCTGAGTCCTCAGGAATGGCAACGCATGGGGGGGGGGGGGGTATCATGGTCGAAACAGTATACTCTGCTTTATTCCTCTGTACCCTAAATGAATAATATTGGGTATATATCAAAAAGAAGAACTCGCTTTTAATGAATCTAGATATCCAACTGGTATGGAGGATATTTGTAATAGCTGATCATCGATGTTCAAAAGAACTCAATATAAAGATATCGGATATCATTCAACTCAAGTTACAAGACCAGTTTTTGATATTTTTTGTTAAAAAAAAAAAAAAAAAACAAATTAAAAAAATAATTAAATATTTATTTGACGTATTAATTCATATTTCAGCCATAAGACGACGGTGTTCACTTCAAAGAGGCAATTGTTGTCTTAAAAATACTCTTGCCAGCTATCTTTCATGGCACATTAGCGTCGTTGAAATCGTTTGTGAAAATAAAAAAAAAATTAACCGAGGGAAATTAACGTTTAAAGGGAAATATTCAAATTCGGACCTTTTTAAAGTTTACGACGCCTGAAGAACAAGAGGAATTAAAAAAAAAATTGTTTCACTCACGGAATAAAGTTTTAATTAAAAAATTTTAACTATCACCGAAATTTGGCAATTGACGTAAAACAACGATCCGCCGACACCCCTTCACGGTCGGCAGTTGTAATTTGAGATATTTTAAACTGCCAGTTACTTTTACAGGTGAACTGTCGTTAACCTTGATCTTTTAATGTACCCTGATAAATTAAAGAAAGTTTACAACCAACTGATAATTTGAATCTTCTATGTATAATAATACTCTCAAGATTTTTTTAACGAGAGATATGCTTTTAAAAAAGTACTGTATAATTTTAAGAAATAATAAAACGGTCGCTGCTAGTGGTAGAAAAAAATATAATAATTGAATCATGGACATTGTCAGATATCGAAAAACTAAATAAAAATATGTTTTTTTTTGTATACAAATTAGAATGGCAAACAAGCTGACGGCCCACCTGATGGAAAGTGGTAACCGTCGCCTATAGACATAAGCAGTACCATGGACATAACAGAGTATACTGTGTCGCCCATGATACACCCCATGCGTTGCCATTCCTGAGGAGTCAGATGTTATTCCTCTGTACCCTGTAAATTCACGCCATATCCCACCCTTCAAACTGTAACACAACCATGCAAACACAACTGCTTCACGGTAGAAACACGAATGGGACAGAGGTACCCAAGCAAT